CGTGACTGAGTTTTATTTCCGGTGTGCTGGTCCTCAAGGGGTTAAGGATTATGTATTGTAAAAGTATAAAGAAAGAATTAAAGACTAAAGGGCACACTCTATTAAATAATAATAAGTGGAAATAGGGGGTGCTGCACAGTGCTTATTACGAGCTGCCACTGTATTTATATCAGAATTTAAGTGTATTATTACTATTTATATATTTTGTATTTCTTTTTTTTTTTATACGTGCATTTTAAAATATAACTGTCATTCAAAGGTGCATACCTTAAACTGGAAATTTACAACCAACCCCTTTTGTGTCGTGACTGAGTCACTGGGGGGATACTCTGTGGCAGTCTGTTGTTCGACTGCGTACGCAGTCAATCCATGTCATGTGGTTAATGTAAAAACTGCTAGTGCAGCAGTGAACTCGCCCACTTCGCCCTTAGCTCAAGCGTAGGATGTACGAATTTTAGTTTAGTAGTATTCTGTTATATTATTTCGTTATGTTATGTTAGCTGTGTTTAAAATTATGGTGTGTGAGAACAAAGTTATGTTTCACGAAATGGAGTCATGTCTTTGAAGGATATACACCAAGCCTTAACCTCCACGCACCATAAATTGGTGACCCGGCTACTCACATAAAGCTGCGTTTTAGTTGTTCGTTTAGGAGTTTGGTTCCAGGACTTTTGCGTTTTTCCCTTCAGCTACTATCATGGACGAGTCTGCTGCCGCGAAGATATCAATTTACAATCCTATTGACCTGGCACTGTGGTTTGCTATGTGCGAATCAACTTTTACTTTAGCCGCACCCAAGCATGTTACGGAGCATAAGACAAAATTCAACTACTGCATCGCTCATTAGCTGCGTTTTATTTTGTTCCTCCTAATATAGCCAAAGGTATTTTAGAAAAAGTTTCACATTTCTTTGAATTGGGAAAACACAGATAAAGAGGCAAAAAAAATGTTGTTGAATACGAAATTATAATTTCAAAGTTGAGTACAAAGCCACACTCAATGAGTAAAATGAAATCACTACAAAATATATCAATAATCAAACTTTTTAGATTGCTGAACTAAAAAATTTCAGGAAAAAAATCTTAAAATGTGCCTAAAAAACATATTTTTACTTCCTTGTATGAAGTAAAGGAAGTACTGTAATCACGAAAATTTTCAGGTATTCAATGAAAATATTCATTTAGACTGCTATCAAATACAATTTAACAATGTTTTTGCATGACATCTAGAAGATGGAAAGAACAGAATAAAAGACTCTTTTTTTCCAAAACGGGTTGCAAGAAGGATTTTAAATGAATTCAGAAGAGATTTTTTTTCAATGTAGCCTCAGAATGTTGAAATTTTGTATATAGAACTCCTATAACATGTAGTTCACCTCCCTTTTTGGTTGCAATCAGCCACACCAAAAGTGTATATATATAAAGACATAAAGTAAGAAATTTAAAACCAATGTTTCACAAAGATGAAAATTTTGAAATTCATAAATAATAAATTTCAAATAATCTAATAAATGCAACAAAGAATATAATAAATGTAAAAACCAAAACTTTTAAACATTCGATACCCTAATTCAAAAAAGTTCCTTAAAGAAATTAAAAGAAAAAGCATAACAGAAGGTTAACTCATTCAATATACAATATAAGTCCGTAATCCAGACTCGTCGGGACTTCGGCAATTCCGGATTATAGATCATCAATTTAAATCCGATAAGATGGAATGCAGAAATTATACAATTAAAAATATAAACCCGTAATTTATGAAATAAAGAGCAATTATGATCTAAAGGGTATCAAAATTTACAAAAAAAGCTTAATATTTATTTGTTTACTTTATTAAACAATCCTTTCATAAGTTGCTTCGCTTTTTCTGCTAATACTTTCTCTCTTTAATTCTATAAACAGACATAATTTCTTGTTCAGTTACAAAGTTCCACTGTTCAAGTCCTGTAATTGCTGTGTCGAGAATACCGACTAACTTGTCAATCGAAATTTTTTCATTTTCAATAACCTCTGTAACTTTTTTCACTATCAGAAGTGGTTTTTTCTGGGTCTAGAACCATAATAAAGATTTTGACATCCATTAATTGATTGATGATTGGGGCATTGTTGCCACAATGAAAAACTTCTGTTATATCATCTACACTTATTACAGCTTCTCCACATTTCTTTACAAAATCCATTAACTCGAAAATTTCACCTTTAGTTTATGATGTCCGAAAATCTTCAAATTCGTAACTATCATCTTCAGTGTCCTCACCATGAAATATGGTAGCTGGCCATAAATTATGCCAAGCATTTTTTAACGTATCTAGAGACACATCCTCCCACGATCTTGTGATGCTCCACACAGCAGATTTTATGCTAAAAAATTTCAAAACATCTTGAATAGTCTTGCCATTTGTTCAAGAAATTTAACATGGATTTTTAAAATGCTACTTTATATTTGCATTTCAGCCTGTGCACAATTCCCATATCCATAGGCTGAATGATAGACGTACAATTTGGAGGAAAGAATAATATGGATACATTATCTTTCACTAAAACTTTCAATGAAGTATGCGCTGAACAGTTGTCAACTATCAGGACTATTTTTGAGTCATCAGGTAAACCAACGGAATTCAAATGTCGCTGAGCCTCTGGTATAAAATGATTTTCAAACTAATTATTCATCAACGCTTGTGTCATCCATGCTCTTTTATTTTCACAATATATAACAGGGAAAATCGTTACTCCTTTAAATGCTCGAGGTCATGCATGTTTCCCGTTTAAGAAAAGTGTGCACTTTTGCTTTCCTGCAGCATTTGCATATGCTAAATTGTTAGTCTCGTTTTGGAATCTTTGACACCAGCTGGAGCCTTTTCTGTAGAGGTTGCCAATGTATATCACGGTACATATTGCCAGAAAAGACCAGTTTCATCACCATTGTTAATTTGTTCTGGAGATTAATTGTTTACTAGTAATGAGTTCAATGAATTCATCTGCAAATTGTTCAGCAGCTTCAGTATCAGCTGAAGATTTTTCACCTGAAATTTTTAATTGTCTTATACCATGGCGATTTTCAAATTTGGTTACCAACCTGTGGAATATGCATACTCAGTATTTAAGTTCATTTCTTCATATAAAATATTTTGGCTTAAGCCATTAGCATAGCGACTTTTAGCATAACGAACACTTTTTCTGTTATTCATTGCAAGTGGGGTGTCGGAATACACAAAATATTCAAAAAGTTTCTTTTTCGTTTTGCTTATGTCATATACAGTTGACTTTCCAATGTCATACTCCTCGCATAATTTTGAGACAGATATGCCTTTATACATTTTTTGCAGCAATTCCACTTTTTTGTTTGATGGACATCGAAACATGCTTTCACTTTGTAAATCCTTTGGCAGCTCCAGAATTGGAAACTCTTTTTGCCATAATCGAAAGTTTAAGCTTAATTTTGATAAAATTGCTCTAACAGTCTGCAAAAAATAATAACCCGGATCTAAGTAGAAGATTAAGGAACTGCTCAATCTGCAACATTAAATGAAATGCTTTAGAATCAGTAAAGATAATTTTAGCCTAGCTTATACTGTTCGTTATACATTAAACGCGCATGCGTAAAGCATACAAAAAAAAGTTGTGGCGTTGAGGACGAGATTATAGACCATTCCGAATAATGGACTTTGTACTGTACACACACACACACACATATATATATATACATAAACTCTCTGTTTCTCGGCTCCAAAAGCTCAATTGTTTTACTCTTATATGTTGGTAAATTGTGCATTTTTTGCTTTCAAAATTATTGAACTATGTTGTTCTTATCTTCTGTTAAGTTTTTATGATTTTAGTTGTAGAACTATCAACAATTTAAAAGTTGTTTAAGTGCAGGTAAGCCATTTTTTTTTTAACCTTAGCTGCCATATTTGTTTACATATGAAACTAGTAGAATAGTGAATTAAGTCAGCTTTTACACCTTCAGTGTCTTTTTGCTGAGTGGGACCAAACGTAAACTTTCAGTTTTATGCACTGAAAAATCTGCCCTCTTACCCACTGGCTGAATTGCTTGTTTTTGCTTAGAAACTCTAATTTAAATTGTAAAAATTGTTTTTGCTGTTTTATATTTTTCTACATTTTTCAATTTTTGATAGAGATATTTTCAGATTTCGTGTATTTTTGGCTTGCCACAAGTGAGAACTGAATTAAATGAATGACAACTAACGTAATTCTCTAATGTAAATGGAGGAAATACATTTAAATGAAATGCAGCAAAAAATGCATATAATTTAATATTCTGTGTACACATCAGATTTTTTATTAATTGTACTCTCCACAATTTTCCAGTGAAATGCAATGCTAAATAAAAACTTTCCAGATTTTAGTATCCAGTCCTTTTTAATTAGTCCTTCAGGCAAATATTCAGCACTAAAATTTAACTAAATACTTAATTTAGTTTATTAGATAACTAACAAACTAAATTCAAGAATAAAAAAATGCATGAAAAACTTACCCATGCTTTCAGGATGATACTCTTGTTGTGGAAGTAAAAAGCAAGTTAACACTTTAGCACCATTCCTCTCATTCACATCTGTTTGGAATTTTAACATTGGCTGCGACTAAAAGGGAAAATGAAGTATACATATTGTTACAGATTTTGTACATACATGTAAATAACGTTATATGAAATTATATGTGAAATTCTAGTATTTTTTGTGTAATGTAACATGAAATGCTTGAAAGAGATGATGCTCAGCCAGAAAAAATAAGATTACATGGTCAAGTCTATTTAACACTGGCATAAATTTAAACTCGCTAAAATGGCGAGATATTGGCAAGTTGGTGATGATTTTGGCAATCCTTGTATAACTCTAATTGGTATTGTGATTGAATAAATTTAATTTATCCCTATACGTAACTGAAACCATATCCGTTCCTCACATGCCTTCCAATAATTTTGAGAAGTGGAAGGTACTATATTTCTCGTTGGCCAGGGAAAAACTATACAAGACTGGAAAAGCATCAGTTTCTCAGTTGCGATTTGCATTATGCTGTGTTTAAAGCTCTTAGCAGTTAGAACTGTAATTACTGATTGCACTCTGTGATACTAAGAACAGTGGTACGAGTGCTTTTGTGGAAAGTTCCAGAATTGTAAAGTGCTTCTTTTGGTAAAATAAATTATTTCAAGCTGACATCATTTTTGTGTGCATTACGAACTCGTACACTCACAGCGATATAAGAGTGTGTTTATCCATCATATATAAATGTGTATGTGCAAGTGTATGTGTATATTATTTGCTTTTTTGATGTCATCAGTAATAAAGCCTTTCATCTCTTCAGTATAAAATTACCTGATAATAATTTATTGGGATAATTATTTATTTATTCTTTAATTTACATGAAGGGAGTAGAAATTTATTGTTTTCAAAAACTGTTGGTATAGCAATAAAATTAAAAACAATTGCCTTTATATGTCTAAATGCATAAATGTGCATGCAGATATGTGTAGGTGACTTTTTAATAAGAACAGACATATTTGTGAACAGATTTTGACTAACAGAGGGGCACATTATTGTCAGTCCTCCACACGTCTGTCCTACATTGTGGAGCAGCCGTCTTGCTGGCTTATGTCTTGACTGCAGCCTAACTTGAACAAAATGTCAAAGAGTGGTTTTTTACATTTTTTCTGCACCTGTGAGTGGTACTAGAACATCTATAGCTTCCTCCCAGACTAGAGATGCAATGTCATTTAGTGTCATTTGTGGCACAACCTTTTGAAGCTCCTCCCTCATGATGATGTGTATCACACACTTTAAGTTATCAACATCTGTATCAGCCAACTCTGTGGACACATTAAACCTCTGAAATTGTGGTTGTTTTCATCGAAGGCTATATGATGGCAGTGTTTCACGAAGGCATCGATAATGTCATACTTCTGAGACAACAAGACCTAGGTACAAGTCCTGGCCCTTCATGAGATGGGGCTTTTTTTTTTTTTTTTTTTCCTCTGCAAGAATAGAGGGGTATTTTTCAGTACAGAGGAAGTACATCTTGAATGTAAGCTACTGTGTATGTGTGAGTAGCAGTCTTTCAGCTTGCAACTTTGCATCAGTTGCAAGGCAAAATGAGTTTCTGAAAGCATTTCTGAAAACTGTTCAACAAGTGCCTCATTATTGTCGAACCACTGTTGAGCAATTCTAGGGGTAAAAACCACTTATATACACTTGATGAATGAGCTGAAACATTATAGGCTTGGAATGTTCTAGAAAATGGAGAACATTATTCACTTGATGAACAAGCTGGAACATTCTAGATTTGGAAGGTTCCACAAAATGAAGAACATTCTCTGATAAATGGAACATAAAGGAAATAAATTTAAACAAAAGTCAATTTTTAGGTGATGGATTTTGATCTCAGTACCTTCGGTTGTCGAATCTGACATCTTACCCACTCAGTCACGTGCTTTGTCAAAAAGAACAATTTTCGCTACGATATCTACATGCCGCACAGAGAATCAGTTTTAAATCTTTCTATGACCAACCAAATCAAAACAAATTTTACTCATGTATGTTTTTCCTCACAGGGGCAAACAAAAAGAACTCAACAAGAGATGAACAAGAGATGATTTCTATTAAGCATTACATAGTACTTTAAATCAATTTTATGGTATTTTTGAGGGAGTATTTTATTATTTTCCAACATACCTGCTTCAAATCACCTGTCAGTTCAGCAGCATGGCAAACAAATATTTCCAGAGAACAAAAAAAATCCCTTTACTCCCTAAACTTTTATCCGTAAACTACTGAACTTTTATTCCTAAATTTTTACTGAATTCTTACCTTTGATTGCCAAATATAAATAATTTAATCTTTGAAAGATTCTAATAAAGCTGTTCATTTTCAACACATAAATTTATGACTCTCCACTTTTGTACCTTTGTTAATTTCAACAGATGTTATGAATAATCTTTACACACATGCACTACAGTACTAAAAGATTCTGAGTTAACATGTCATTATAGTAACTCTGATATTCAAGACTTTCTAACCTGAATGATTATAATATTCTGTATACAGTCAAAAGTCGTTAATTCGGACACCCATAATCCGGAATGATCTATAATCCGGACTTCAAAGCTACAAACTTTCTGCGCATGCGTCACATTGATGCGCGTAAGACTTTTACGGCTGCGAATATGCATGTCCGCATGCGCGTAATACGTTTACGCTTACACGTTTAATGTATAACGGACGGTATAAGCTAAGCTAAAATTATCTAATTCAGTTAATGTTGCAGATTGCGTTGTTCCTTAATCTTCGAATTGGATCCGGCTTATTATTTCTTGCAGACTGTTAGAGCAATTTTATAAAAGTAAGCTTGAACTTTCGATTATATCAAATAGAATTTTCAATATACTATATTTACTAATATGTAAAGGATCTACAAGCGAAAGTATGTTTCGAAGTCTATTAAACAAAAAATGGAATTGCGTCAAAAAATGGATAAAGGCACATCCTTTGTTTATCTAAACTTTAACGTTTGTTTATCTAAACTTTGTTTATCTTCAACACCGCAGCACACAATGAATTAGAAGTTGATCTGTCAGCACTATCTTATCTTCAGGGCAGATGTTTTTATTTTATTTGGCTTATAATTCCTTACTAAATGTAGTATTTCATCCCGGGTACTCCGTCTTTGATATTATTTAAATCAAATTCCTCGTCATTATAATTCGCTTCCGATAATGAAGAAAGTGACACAGAGGTTATTGAAAACGATTAGTCGGTATTCTCGGCACAGCAATTATAGGACTTTAACAGCAGAACTTTGTAACTGAAGAAGAAATTATGTCTGTTTATAGAATTAAAGAGGAAGTATTATCACATAAAACGAAGCAACTTAAACAACTTACATTGAAAGAAATGTTTAATAAAGTAAACAAATAAATATTAAGCTTTTTTTTTTGTAAATTTTGATACCCTTTAGATCATAGTTGTTCTTTATTTCATAAATTACGGTTTCATATTTTTAATTTTATAATTTCTGCATGCCATCTTACCAGATTTAAACCGATGATCTATAATCCGGAAAAATCAATAATTCGGAATCGCCGAAGTCCCAACGAGTCCGGATTAACGACTTTTGACTGTAATACTCTGTACCCTTAAGTTATAATATACATTTTGAAAAATTAGAAAAGTGAAGAAAGGCATTAATAAAAAGGTAACAAATTAAACAAATTTTTAAAAAATTAATTAGAAAGGAAATAAATCATGTTAGATTACAAACACGATTAGTAGATACATCACAAAGTCATACAGAAGTTAAATCATAAAATGCAGTATTTTATGAGCATTCCTACACCCCTTTCAGCATACTTAATAATTTTATTTATTTATTTTTTTTTTAACTTGTCAACAAATTCAGATGTTAATGAAGAGGGGGATCTCATTTTTAAGGGTAGACTTGAAACAAATGCAGTGTACTTAAAAACTACTACCTTACATTAAAATAAAATCATTCTCAGAGAAAGGAGAAAGATGAAAAGGAACAAACCTGGTTTTCAGCAAGCCACAGCGCTTTTAAATTCAAAGCAGTTACTGTAATTGGAAGGTACTGTAACCTAAACAGAGAAACATAGTGAAAGCAACAGAAATGAATCAAAATAAAATAGCATTTCATTATTTCTTTCATTATATATTTCTCCCTCCCTTCTTCCTCTCCAATATATACCTTGCCCACAAAAGTCCTTACTTTGCAGCTGTTGGTTGTACACATACTTCCAACTGCAAAAAGGTTTTAAATGAAGCAAATATTCACATTTTGGCATTTTAAATTTTTAAAAATCAATTTTATAAAAAATTATGAAATATAACTTTTTATGTAGTCCCCGGCTTGTTAAATTTAGAAATATTTTATAATTTTATGCTTATTGTGAAAAATTAAAAAGAAAAAAAGTTTGACTCTCATACAATAGACAAACTGACAATTTCAAAATTTGGGATCTTCAATATAATTTCCAACTTACCATGAAGAGCCTGTTAATAAATATATTATACTAATTTGAGGTTCATTTTTCCTCCTTAAATGCTGTTCATTGATAGTCTTATGTGATTTACTACTGTACAAAGTTTTATAATTTATAATTTTGTTACAACTGGTTTGCCAGGAGATTTTTCACACACATGTACATTTTCAAATTCTGTAAATGCTTTTTAATATTCTTAAGGAATTTTATTCCTTAAAATCAAACTATAATAAAGAAAAAATTCACTAAACAATTATTTTTAATTTATGCAAATAATGCTATAAGTTGGTGATATTATAATACTGAAACTGCCAAATGTTTTAAGATTTCTAAATGTATAAGATTCATCTGAGGTGCAATACCACGTCGGATGGTATGGGGGAGTGCAACAGTCTCCAAGCTTCACTGAGAATGTCCAATTTTCCAGGAAGGACTTCAGAATCAAGATGAAGTCTTCTGGGAATTGAGCTGGATAAGTTTACAGAGAAACATATATACTAGACATGGTCAAATGCCTTGGCCACATCTAGCATAAGGACGGAGATGCTCACTTTGTTCCCAAAAGTCGATCCGATGAATTTAGAAATCTGGACTAGTTGATGTGTCATCGACAACCTTTTTCGGAACTGTACTGTTCATTAAGAAAGAGGCTGAGATACGGTTGGATACGGGTGTAAATAAGCCTTTCGAGAATTTTTCCCAATAAAGAGCGGAGACTGATGGGTCGGTAGTTGGAAGGCTTTTCAGGCAGTTTTCCTGGTTTATGGAAGAGAAAAATGTTGGGGTGTTTCCATATTTTCGGGAAATGTGCATTTGTCAGACAAGTGTTATAGATTCCTGTTAATTCACAGATAGCACTGTGTGGTAAATTCTTGAATAATTTATTTGAGATGTAGTTACGGGGCTTTTTCAGATTTGAGATGTTTAATAATGCCTGTGATTTCTCTTGAGGTGGTAAGCTGGATAATATTCCTAGGAAATAGTTAATCCATTCCTATACTGCATTTACAATGAGAGTTTCAGAATCCTTATCTACAAAAAAATCATTTGGTGCAAACTGTTGGATCAGGTCACTAGTAAAAGCTTCATCCTTTTCCTGATTAGTGTATGCAAATATCCTCCTTACTTCATGATTGGAGGAGAGGTGGTTTTGGGATTTTTAAATTTTCTTAGGACATTCCACAAAGAACCATCTTCCAAATTGAGGTTATCGATCTTAGCACACCAATTTTCATTGCGATGTTCTGCAATAAGGCCATCGATTTTTCTTGTACGCCTGCTGATTTCAGCTTTGGTGGCAGGATCCCAGGTTCTGCTGAACTCTTTGTGTAATATGATACGTTGAGTGATGAAGTTACAAATGTGAATGGGGAGCTGCCCATGAGTGTAGGAATTTTTGACAGAAGTAGATGCTTGATGCAGAAAGTCCTGAATTGATGCAGTAAAAATTTGTGCAGTGATGTGCAATAAAAATTTGTGTCATCCACAGTATGTAGGTTTCCAACATCAAAAGATGTGGTAGCAGCAATGTTATGCAAGAGATTCCAATTCCTTTTTTTGAGTGGGGACGATGTCTTTGTTTGCCACAGGTTTGTTGATGCCACATTTCGCTATCACAGGCATGCAATCAGAAGAGAGTTCAGTAATAACATCAAGTGTCATTGGAATATTGGTATTTGAAAGAAAAAAGGTCCAAGATATCCAGTTTCCTATTGACTATGTTTAGGCGATACGTACCTTTGTCAGGCATGAACATATAAATTGAATTATTCTCCACATATCTGTGTATCACGTGACCACTGGAGCTGCTCAAATTACAACCCCAATCCACATGTTTAGAGTTAAAATCACAACTGATGAAAGTAGAAATGTGACTTTTAAGAAAGAATTCCAGGTTGGATTCTTTTATTTTGTTGTCAGAATGATTGTAAAGGGCACAGAATCGGGCATTTCTGATTTAAGGTAAATCCACGTTCATGCACACAGTCTCGAAACCTTTGCTATTATCATTCATGACAATGCATGAACTAGAAGTACATTTAACATATATTATTGCTCCACTGTCTCTGTGTCGTAGACAATCATATCGGTAAGAGTTGTAATTGGAAATAAGCAGTTTATCGTGGGAACTGCAAGTGCTTCAGTGACAAGACACATATCTATGTCGTGGACCCGTAGAAAATCTTCAAGTTCTGCAAGTTTTGTAATGAGACTTTGCGCATTCCATAGCGCAACAGTAATTGGTGCAAAAGAGATCGATAGCTTATCCATGTATTCTATGATTGATAGGTTATCCATGTCAAATGAGATTGATAGACTATCCAAATGGAGGATACCTTTATGGAGTACTTTTATATACATTACAAAAGGGGAAAATCATGAAAACACACATGCAGCCAGACTGTTCACCTAGAATCAAACCCACGTCGAACTACGAGTGATCAGCAACTTTAACACTCATCTGCAAACGATTGTTCTCATCTACTATTGTTTTGTTGACCATATATAGTTGTTCTCCACAGCCAGCAGCTATTAAATTCCCCTGTAAATGAACTGGAACACAGTCACAAACATGATTGTACAGTCTTACTTTTTTTAAATTTATTTTATTCTAAATGCAACAAAAAATACAGCAATAATAGTTAATTTACATGATTCTTCATAAATTCTTCATTATCAAGAATCAATAAGGGGGTTTCATCAAACAAAAGCGTACATGTTATGAGTGTGTTGTGATCTATCTAATAGCAAGAGAAGAATCTAATAAAATTTCCTAAATGCATTTTAAATATGGAATATGCTCAATTTGACAGTTGATTGATATCAATATTTAACAGTACCAATCAAGAGAAATTTTCAATTATGTAAAATATAGAAATTTGAATCCTACTTGAATACACTGAATGATTATTATTATTATTTTTTTTTTTTTAATTTCTCACTTATAAATCAATATACTCATTACAACTGCATTTTCAATCATACAAATAAAAGATTTGCAAAAATATTTGTTATTCCAGAAACATCTACCTATATAATACTTTCAGTTTTACTTTTGGACTTGCGAAAAAAATATTCAATACCTGGCCTTTTAAAAAAATTATTTTCCAAGTCAACTCAATTTACAATCAAAAAAAGGGGAGAAGAGGGGGAAAATCGCCCAAAAGAGGGTTGTTAAGGTTTTTTTTTTTTTTTTTTTTTTTTTTTGCTTTCACTCAGCCCACAGTCTACTAGTCTGCTGTTACACACTATTGCTAACCCCCCTTTTGTTGTCTTTTTAGCTTTACTATCCAGCATCATTTTCTTCGCATTTGCGCCATATACAGATCAACAGTAAAATTACAAAAATTTCAAAAGCAGCATAGCAGTACATGTTTAGAATTCCCAATGCAGTGAGTGTTAAGTGTAGGCTTAGTTTCTTTTCTTTTCTTCCCCCCCCCAGTCTTTTCTCAGTTCCTCATACAAATGTTCAGTTTTCTTAGTAAGATGGCTTGCAAAACTATTTTTAGTTTTTTTCTTATTAATGTTTTGTGTGTTTACTTTATTCATTAAATAGCTTGTTCTTGCATCTATACCTCATAAAATTCAATTCAATAGCAAAACTGTAAAATATTTAAAAGCAGCCTGTTCTTAGAATTTCCGACGGACAGTCTCGTGCACTGGAGATACAGTTTTTTTGTCTGTACAGTGTTGCCGCTGCAAAGAGTGAAATTGTTGAGTTTGTTAATCAAAAATTCGTGTAAGTGTTACAATATATGGAATACATAATAAAACAAATTCAGGCTTCCAGGTGCCCATGTTTGGGTGGCAGACTGTGTTATTCAAAATTTGATGGCTGTTTTTTCTCAATGTGAGAAACATGTATACATTCATGTAGATTTTTCATTATTTAATTTTTTTAATGTAATACTAGGTGATAATATCTGCTGGCAACAATTTGAAAAGTAACACGCCCTTTATAGTGATTCAAAGCAAAATGCCATTTCGGGACTGATATATCCCATTCAGGACTAATGCCCCTTCTTAGACTAATAATATAAAACAGGTTATCAGGACTGGATTCTAAAATGTATGCATGTCCATCATATATGTGTTAGTGTACACATACATACTACATATGTAACTATATACATGCATCTATGAACACATACATGCACACATATATAAAATATATAAATTTCTGAAGTCCTGATAAGAGAAGAGCATCTTACGTCATGAAGCCTATTACAAGAATATTTTTAAATAATTCACATAAAAAAAATTAAAAAAATAAAAAAAGATGAAACATTTTCTGCTGCTACAATTCAAAATAATATTGCAATTAGAAGAATACAACAAACTTACCTATTCCCGGACACATCTAAAACATGTAATTCTTTAAGCATCCCTGTTTCTTCAGGCAAGAAATTTAACCTATTTTCTCTCAGAGACAAAACACCTAATCTTACTAAATTTCCTATTTGTGGTGGTAACTGAGAAAGTCTATTTCTATCCAAATTCAAATTTGTTAGATTTACTAATTTTCCTATAGATGAAGGCAATTCTGATATTAAATTTTCTGTCAATATAAGTTCCTGAAGAGATTCACAATTTCCAATTTCAGGGGTGAGAGATAACAAGCGGTTCTGGTCGACCTAAAAGAATAATGTACATATATATAATGTCTGAAAATTTGAAATATCATAATAATTTCAAGCATTGGTACTTCTTTGTTATAGTAGCCCCAAGCCTGAATCACCAATCAATTGAAATAGTTTGCTAAAATCTGGCTGTTTATACCTGTACTTTTATGCCTCGTCACGTGATTATATATTAGCACTGGCTGCATGTTCTTATATCTCCCCATGTAATCATATATTAGTGCCCTGTTGTATTTTCGCTCGGGCCACATGTTTTTATATTATTCATTTTTGATGATGTTTTCGAATTTACATCACTTATTTAAAAATATATTCACTGCTCCCCCCCTTTTTTTATGTGTGTGTGAATATAACATTAAAAATCTTTAATTTACTAAATAATGAGGTGGATGCCATATAAATTTTTCAAGAATGTGACCTTTTACCTCATAAACAAGTAGCAAAAATGGCCACATGAAACTTTACGTTAACAACAAAACCATTTTCAGGTGCAATGTTAAAAATTACAGAAATGTTGGAAATTGGTTCGGCAGTATCATTCGTCAGTGTTGTTAGATTTATGTATTGTTGAGCAGAAGAGTTAATGTCCATGAAATGGTGTAACAAACTGCTTAATAATGTATGAAAGTGCTGTAGTTGACTGGAACAATTACATGCGATAAAATAATAATGATAAGGACTCTTAAAAATATTCTTAGGAAACAATATGTGAGTATTATTGCTGTTATTATATATTGTGTTGTTTATTTCAGGTATGTGAAGTCAGAGTTGGTGTCATGGAGTCAGAATTGGAGTTAGGCAGATTTTTGGGTACAGGAAGCCTGAGCTGGAGGTGCTAAAAACATGTTGACCCCAACTCCAGTTTTTGTTCCGCAGTTTGAATTTGAAATGAAATTAAAGTGAATTGAAAATAATAATAATAATAATAATAATGGCAAACTGAGTTATTATTTTTATTTATGAACTATATACATTAATAAATTATTAATTTTTATTTTATTGATATATATTAATAAATAAATATAAGGAAGGAGGATGGATATGATATTTGCCATTATCGATTAAACTGATTCATTTAGTTACTTCATTTAATTACAAATCTTATTGGTAAATTTAAGAACGCAGCAAGAGCAGCAAGAACTCCCAAAACTGATGCCATTTCTAGGAAGCGAGCAGGAAAAGGAGCAATAATTGATCAAGCAACATGATGGGGAAGTACATATTAGATGATAAGCCCAGTGTTTCACTAACAGAAAGACTGCAGAATGATCTTACAGAATTGGAAACACTTCTTCTACACTGCATATAGCCACAAAAAAGCTACAATCTGAAGAATGAATAGAAGGCGAAAATGGAAGACTGTGATGTTTGTTCTTTCTGAAATGGAGGTTTAATTGCAGAAGGAATCATTTCTTAGTTTGCTAGACAATGAAATCTTGCTGGGTTCAGTATATATAGATCCAAAACACAGAGTTTTGTTGGATGACAAACAAATTAAAAAGTGAAAAAAAAAAAAAAAAAAAAAAAAAAAAAAGCTATCTATGAACTTCCATTAAGAATGAAATCATTTTCAGAACAAATGGAGTATTCAAATCAGGACAGTCAAACTGCAGACACTGCAACTGAGTCTCTATCATCCTCTTCCAGTGATGAATTAAATTTTGATATATTTGTATAATATTGAAAAGGCTCAGGCAAAGCAAATTAAAATAAAGAACTAAGAGCCTTTAGCTATAAAAATGAAAAAATACAAACAAGATTTCCACATGGCCTTTGATGAAATAGAGAATACTGTTTCTCATAAATTACTAATGACATTTTCGATTTCATAATAAATGCTAATATAAATAATTTGTTATGCCATCAATTTTTTTCTGTAGCACCTATTACTTCTTTTATATTAAAAAAAATAAGCTGTAATCCATGTGTATATGTTTACATGTACTATATGAAGTAGTCAGAGTCGGAGTCGATCATTTTCCCTACCGACTCCACACCCCTTGTTTATTTTTAAATTCGCAGTACCCGAGCTTGACAAAACCATAGCTGAGATCTTGGCACAAATCTAAAATCATCAAATGTGGTTGGGGGCGGCTATAACAAAGAAGTCCCAAGTATTTTCTCACAGTTTTACCTTGCTGGATTTTAAGCATATACTAAATCTTCACACTCAAATGAAACTCATAATACTGACACTAGATTTTTTTAATGATCATTATAGAATCTTTCTAATTACTCTGCTATTCAACAAGAACTGAGTTGCTCGAACTAAAAATTATAGTTTCAGTATAAGCATTCCTTTAATGGCCATCATATGACTCTTTATTTAATCCAATTAACATACGAAGGTCACTCTGAAATTTTTCAAATACATGCAGACAATTAAGTGACAGAAAAAAAATCAACGGTTACATCTGAAAATATGAAATATTTTAGCTAAGTAGATGCTTTTTTTTTGGCCACCTGTATTTATTCTACTCTAAATTAGAGTAGAATAAATTTTAGGCAGAAGAAAAAATGAAGTTGATGAGAGGACTATAACTTTCTATGATTTTAAAGTGGGATTAAATAAAGAAGAATGTATTCAATATTTACAGTTAGCACTTAAGGTCCTATCATGCTACCATATTTATATAATTTACATAATTTCAGAGAAACTCTCTTCAGGATGAAGGCTGTTGTCAGCAATAATCCCGAATAATGTGTCTGCCATACAGAAAATGAAAATCAATGATAACCAAACAAATGATAAAGAAGGAACTTAACAATTGGATTCATCACCATACATAAAATTATTCATGAAAAATTGCATGGGAAAAAAACTATTTTGCCATTGAGTTCACCATAATTTAACTGAGCACCAAAAAGAGGAGCATGTCAGAATTAGTGAAAAAAAACCTTTAAATTACTTAAAGATGATGACCACTGCATTATTTCTACAATTGTAACTAGTGATGAAACATACATAACATTTTTTGATGCTCCAATATATCAAGAAAGTAAAGTATAGGTCTTTAAAGATGATCCCACACCCATGATGGTGAAAAGACATGAGAAAAGTAATATTTGCTGTTTTCTTCAGAAGTACAGTACTGGTAAAAAGCTTGGAAAGACAGAAGACAGCCATAAAGCTTGGAAAGACAGAAGACAGTCACAGCTAATTGGTACACCACTAAGTGTCTTCGGAGAAGTGAATGTTAGAGAAATCATGCTCCACCATGACAATGCATCTTCTCAAGCAACAAGACTGACAGTCGAATTTCTTGAACGAACACACATTAAAGTGATAGGACATCTATCCTATTCACCTAATCTAGTTATGTGTGAATTTTGGCTATTTTTTAATCTAAAAAAAGACCTTTCGTGGACAATGTTTTCATTCCGAAGATGAGATTGATGAGGCTATAAATGCATTTTTTTCATCAATTCCAAGAAATGAATGGCCTCTGGAATTGAATCTTTGGGAAATTTGTCTCCAGAAGTGCCCTGATGCTACAGGAGAAGACTCTGAACACTCCTATAATTTCATAAATATAACTTTAAAAACCTATGTGTATCTTAAAAATTTCAGAGTGAGCCTCAAACATGCTTAAGTAACAGAAAAAGTGAAATTAAAACAGTTACCCAATAGTAGTCATCTGAAATTTTAAGTACCTGATAATAATAAAGCAATAATTTATTCCTCTACTGAGAAATTTAAAAACACTATTTTTTTGCATATCACAGAAACAAATTTTCTTTTAACCCCTTCGAGCCAGGTAGTGAAAACGTGCGCTTATCGCGGAGGCCGGCAGTGTCTTCCGCGAGCGTCTCTCCAGGGCCGGGGGCTTTTTTGCTACTAAGCCTAAATCCATGAAATTTCCGAAGTATCAACACATTGTTTAATAATGCTCTATAGTATTTTAAACGGCTTAAGCTTTATAGATATTTTTATATATATACTTTAATTTCCTCATTTCTTGTTTAAATGCATATTTTACACATTTTATTTTAATTACTCACCATTTTATGGCTTTTAACATTATACATCTGAAAACTAAATATATTACTTAAAATTCTCTTTTCGTATGAAAAATTTGAAAACAGGGATCTACACACAGTCCTACGTTACATTCCTTGAACTCGTAATAACTCATTTGCCGTTTTGAAGGATTTTTCCAGGAATGTGAACAAACGAAGCATCGTCGTCTCATTTTCTTATCAGTCTCTTCTGAACAAAGTTTTGGAAAATGCCTTTCAGTTAATCTTTCAGAATCAATATCAGAATATCAGAATTTCAGAATCAATATCTGAAATATTTTGCATCATTTCTGCTATTTTCATGCTCTGTTAAACATTTCGACGCTTCGACATTGAAACGGTAAAAACAGAAAGAATTCACGTCTAACAGATCTAATTATTTTCTAAAAACTGAACTGTAAACGGAAATACTCAACGCTTTTAGCGTATATAAAACTTCTACTTACAATAAACAACTACCATGTGCGAATAAAGTGCGATTTAAAGAGACGTCATAAATCACGCCATTCGGAAACATTTAGTTCCCCGTTTGTTTATATAATCAAAACCACGTGTATGTGAGTCATGCTTCTCTCATTTCGAGTAGAAGGTCTAATGTACATGTATCTGAAACGATATGGACATACAGTGCCATCTTGTGGCAGAAATTATAGTTTGAAAAACGTTCCAAGGTACTGGCACAAATATGTGACAGTCGGTAGAGAACGCAACAATCCTCTGGCACGCCTGCGTGTCGGCCGGTAGATAAGTGTGTTCGTTGCTGGCACGTATACGTGACAGTCGGCGCGAAGGGGTTAATGCTTGCCTTCATTTAATGAATATGTCACCCGCCAGCTGTGAAAATTAACACAGACAGCATCGCTGCTTCTTGCATTAATTCAGCTTTATATTATTTGTTTCAATTAGGCTATGGCTAAAATAAACTGTTTCAAATATCTACAACTCTCTCTTCACTGAAAAAAGCATCAGAAGTATGAGCTTCATCATTCCTAAATTTTATACATATACACATAAAAAGTGTACAGCTTATAGCTATTAAAAAAAAAGAGCTTTCAAAATCTGTTTAACCAAGAATTTACTGGGAATGAAAATGCATCTTAATGAGCAATACTCTGCCATTACAAATCACAAAATAAGACACTGGCTCCATTGCTGTCACTAACAATGCCAATAGATTTTTATACGTGTAATTTAGTATGACAGATATCCAACCTGTACTCCAACTCCATCCAAGTGTTAAACAGCATGGAAGCACAATGCAGTTTATTTCCTGATGAATTATGTTTTTCAGATTGTCCAATACAGGCAGCATATGATAGAAATTCTTAATAAAGCCTCAAAGAAAAGAATCAAATGGGGACAGATCAGGTGACCATGCAGGACAGTCAAAGCAAATCAGCAACATTTGCTTAGAATGCATTGCTTTAAAATATTTCAACAACTGCTTTTTTAACCCTATGTTAGCTAACATATCAAATGTTAAAATACAAAATCTTAAATGGATACATTTTCCAAATTTACTAAAATTACTCCACAGAACTGAGAATTTTATGAATCTGTATTTCAGATTATATTAGATTACTATATCAGACTACTGAATTTAATACATGAACGCATGCTTATTTCATTTAAAAAGAAATTATTAAAATAAATCAGTTTAATATTTCAAAGTGTTAACTAACATTTGTGCCTATAAATATTTATAACATTTAAAACAACAATGGTTTATTTACAAATTGACAAATAATTTCTGCACTGCAAATATAGAACAGAAAATTCATTTCACATTTCCTTTATATAAAAATAAAAACTGAAAGCACTCATTTTACATTATGTCCAAAGGGATGTTTTTTAAACATTTTAAGGGTTACCTTTATTTATTAAATATCAGGTTCTTCGCACTTAAACCATAAAATTCAACAGCAATATTATAAAATAATTTTAAAATTAGCATATCTTTAAAGTTCCGATACAGCTTCGTGCGCTGGAGATAAGAATGTTTTTTGTTTCCATACAGTGTTGATATTGCTCGCTTTGAAATCGTTGAGTTAGTTAATCAAAAATCCGTTAGTGCTACAAAATATGAAATAAATAATAAAACAAATTCTAAATTTGGGTTTCCAGATGCCCATATTCGGGTGGAAATGTACGTTATTCAAAATTTGATGACTCTAGCTACCGCTGTTTTATTTACAATTCGAGAAACATACATACATTTATGCATATTTTTCATCATTTAATTTCTTTAAACATAATACAAGGGTGTAATATTTGTTGGTAACAGTTTGAAAAGTGAACCAACATTTTTTAAAGTTTTCAACGCAAAATGCCAAAAATGAAATTAATAGTCCTTCCGGGATAATAATTATATAACACGCAATATAAATAATTATATAAATATTAACCGCATTTACTTTAAAAATGGTCAGCTTTGATAGTTTTCCTATTCCATCAGGAAGAGATTCAAGACAATTCTGTGACAAATGCAGATCTGTTAAGCTTTCCAATCCTCCAATTTCTTCAGGAAGATATTCAAGCCGATTTTCACTGACATCTAAACAAGTTAGTTTCTTTAGACTTTCAATTTCCTATCAGATGAAAGAAATTACTCGTTTCAGCAGTATCCTTAAATTCAAAAGACGCACAAGGAAATCAAATGGTTAAAAATTTTAACTATCAAAGACTTGTAATAAATGATTCAATTATTTATCAAATTCAAAAATTGTTCTTGCACAGTAAAGGTACTATTCTATTATTGGAACTAGATTCAGAAATGTATGGATGTACGTGTTCATGTGTGTATATATATATATGTGTGTACATATACATACATAATAGACATATGTACATACATAAACATACATACGTATATTTCTGACACACATATACATACATATGTACATTTCATACATACATATGTACCCCATGTGTATAAACATCTATATACGCATATACATACATTTATGAATCCAGCTCTGATAACAGAAGAGTATTGTAAAACATCTCAAATACATAGTAAAAGGAAATACTTTTAATTCTAAATTCTGGTACTTACAATATAATCATGTAGTTGTCTTACCATGAAACCACGAAAACTGGTGAAGATCCTACCAAATTTGCACAAATCATTTCTGCAAAATTCTGAAAGACCTCTTTATTTAATAAACAATAAGTAGTCGACTACTTTCGTATTTGTGCTTATTAAAAAGGCTTTCGTCAATTTCTATTCTTCCTCTTCTTTTCTATTTTTCATCAGTTATTGTTAGGCCCTACGATTTTATTGGAAGCTCCCTGTACCTGCTCAAATCTATTACTGTTTTGCCAGCCATATTTCAGCTGTCCTTTTCCCCATTTAACAGATGTTAATTTTCTTGATCAGCCATATATGAACTGGAGAGTAGTCACAAATGTGATTCTATGTTACTTATCAAGAATCAATAGGAGTTACACCAAACATGACAGCAGATGCTACAAGTGCACTGTGAATGTCACACATATCTGTAATTAGTGTAAATTGCATTGTTCAGTGACAGTTTAACAGTTGATGGGATAATATGCAAGTACCTTAAAACTTATTTTCAGATGGGGGAAAATTAATTGGGTGCATCATTACTATTAACAAGTATCTGAAGCATGCCTTTGCCAACACATATATTGGTACTTTTCCATTAGTAGCAACTATTTCAGAAAGGTGACAGATCATTCAATTAGTAATCACTGTTAAACATTTGGTAACTTACCAAGATGATGTTGCCAAGGGAAAAATATCCATTCACAAAAGTAAGATTAACAAGAAGGGAAAACATTAATTAAATAAACATATGATCAGGAAATTACGCAACCTATGAATGAAACTTTTTTACCATTCATCAAAGGCATTTTTATTATTGCAGTATAATCCAAACCATAACTACAGGTCTCTACCAATTAAAGCAGTCTTACTCAGAAATGACTTTCTCAAAAATATGCAGAAAAATTAATGTACCTTCTGCAAATAATTAGCTACTTTTGCTATCTGATGCACCTTGTAACTATCTCAAACAACAGCCTACACAGAATTAAAAATTACCTTTCAGGTGGCTGAAATTTAAAATCATTCTTATTTAGACCTTTGCATATTTTCGCAAGTTCATTATACCTTTGTTCTTAAATTAAATTTCTTGTCCATTATTCCCATATTTTACAGGCGAATTATAATGATACATATTTTATTATTTTTAAGAACAATGAACTACAGCATTCTCATTCTGTTTCAATCAATTCTATAGCCAATAAATTTTATCTGATCGTTCCCATTTTCCAAACAGTATTAAAATTAAGAATTTCCTTGTTGGTATCTTTGTAAACCCAGAAGATTTAACAAACAGCATTATATCCTTTTAACTTCCTTTCATTCAAATGATTTTCAGAAGCTTTAAATCTAACTTGAGTTAAAAGTTTTCTAAAACCCATTCTCAATTGAGCCTCAGACAATTAATGCTAAGTAATTAATACTTATCGTACATGATTAATACACACTGCTCAAAACAGTTACGGTATACCATGATTTTAGATATAAACTGTGGAGGAAATGTTTTGGTGACTGACGCATGATGTATAGATGTTGTAAGTTATGAAAAAAGAAAAAGAAACAATGAACAATTATTGACAATGTTTATTAATGATTTATTGATAATGTTTGTCAGTAAACAAAAAAATTAACAATATGTGCATAAACAAATAAAAAATGTGATTTCTCAGTTATATATGAGTTTCAATACGGAGTATGGTTTCCCTTGACAGAAAGTAATATCACAGGCCTATGAGCTGCAGACCTGGAAATCAATGATCAAGATTATCAATGAGGGACTAGAGTATTCTTTCACTTCTGTAAAAGAGAGTTTTCGAACTGTTGAATTGTTTCTGTGAGTGATAAGTGACTCCCCTTCTCCCTAGAACGTCCCAAATATGTTTATTGGATTCATATCTGGGGAACATGTTGGCCAATCCATTTGAAGGATTTCTTCTCAAAAAGGAAATTGCTCATTAGCTGAGCACCATGTGGTTTGGTGTTATCATTCATGAGAATGAATTCATACTCAATTGTTTCAGCATTAAAGACAACAGGTCTGAGGTCTACTGCACAAGAAAAAAGGGGGGACAGTTCGATATCTCCCGCTCTACTGGCAGATTGACAAAATTCAACTTGCGTTTTTCATGTCTCAGAAGCGACACTGAGAATATGTATTAGATTTATATATAGCATTGTTCTAATATAGGTACTTTGACACAAAATTGGACTTTTTCTCAAATAACATGCTAATTTTTTTTTCTATATTTTTATTCTACTACTCAAATTATGCCAAACTGCCAAGTTCTGTAAAAATCACATGAGTAGTTTTTAAAAAATTAGCTTTATTGAATTTGGTATATATTTATTATCTCTTTTTTTTATTAAACTTATTTGATTCTTCCTTTTCACATTTCAAAATTTAAGTTCATTCCAAATAAAATTTGCCCTTTTTCATGATTTATTTTTAAAATTTATTTTTAAATAATTTTTATAAATTTTTTTAATTATAATCTAAAAACTTTTACTATAGTCTTAAAGTAGATATATTTCTAAACATACCTACAAAAAAATTACATTTTTTTATTCAAAATTTTCGAAGATATACGCGAATTTATATGTTGGTGCGTTTTGAAATTTGGCATATTTGTTGAAAGCGATAATAACATCAAATGTGGTTTAGACACTTTGTTAAAATTATTTGAAAGGAGAACGATGTGCCTTTTTTTCCTGCTCATGCACAATGTAAAAAGGTAGGAAGAACAAAACTTTTTTTTCGGTCCTTCCCAATGGAAGGGAAAGGAAAATGGGCTGCCATATATTAAGTTTCCTAAGTGAATTATTCTTGGCACAAACTGAAAAAAAGACACCAAGATAAATTTGTGAATTTCTCCAAAAATTTCACACCAAATTTTGCAAAATTTAATATTTAGGCTTAATTTGAATCATAGAATCGAAATATGGAAAAAACTTGGTATGTTATTTCAGAAAAAGTCCCATTTTGCGTCAAAGTACCTTTGTTAGAACAATGCTATATATAAATCTAATATGCAACCTAACTCGCGTTTTCGAAACATGAAAAATGCAATTTGAATTTCGTCAATCCGCCCAGTAGGAATGGGAGATTTAAAACTGTTCCCCCCTTTTTTCCGCCGCAGTTTTTTTATTACATCCCTATACTGTTGAGTCATTAATGCTCCATTCCTGATAATGTGCAGGTTGGTCCGGCTATTGATAGAAATACCGGCCCAGACCATTTCTCTTCCAAATCAGACACTTTCATGCACAAATATGGGAGTATTCCATGTACCAGGTTCTCCCCAGATGAGAATCTGCCTATTGTCATTGTCACATTCTTGCCACTAGATGGTGGGCATCTCTTCCTTTACTTTTTCTGTAATTAAGTTCCGAGAACGAGACTAGATTGGAACCGCTCTGAGGAGCGTAAAGACGAAACTTCAGAGAATTAACATGTACTGTCTTAAAATAATTATCACCTACCTTGTAAATAGTGTATAATAGTGTTTTGTTTGAATAAATAAGAAAAAGATAAGATGGCCTGTTAGTTGTAATAGAAACTCTTACTGGAAAACGTGATTATTAGAAGCCTGGCGTTGCAAACACTGAAGATGCAGCAGGTAAGGAATTTTACATTAATTTTATTGTAAATAGAAGAACCTGATGAAACATTTTTATGGCACCCGAACAGGGACGCCAGGTTTTTTGTAAAGTTCTAATAAAGTGAATTCAAAAGCTGAATAATTAAAATTGAAGATTTTAATACTTGTTCTTGAAGTTATTCAGCAAAAGAATAATTTTTGTTTTCTAAGTAAGAGTTAAATTTTGTTTTTCATGAGACGTACATTTTTTGTGTAAATGTTTGAATCTAAGAAAGATAATGGCAGAAGTAGATAAATTAAAAAGGAAAAGAAGTATCTTAAGAACTGCCGTTACAAAACTATTTAAGAAAATCGAAAGTGAATTAAATAAATCTGAAGGTAGTATTAATGAGCTCGAAGAATTGTTAGAACAGCTTAATGCTAAAGCCGAAACACTATCTAATGCCGATGTAGAAGTTGAACCAATTCTGAGTGTAGATGAATTCGAAATTACAGAACAAAATCGCGAGAAGATAGGGTTATGGAAATTCAGGCTTAAGAAACGGATTAAGGGAACTTAACCATGACTTTAAATGTACCAAACACTCAGCAAAATAATAAAAGATACACCTAATGTTAAATTACCAAAACTTTCGATTCCGTATTTTATGGGAACAGTAGTCAATGGCTTACTTTTTGGAATAGTTTCGAGTCCTCAATACATAATAACGAATCATTGAACAAAGTAGACAATTTAATTACCTGAAAGCATATTTAGGAGGAACAGCTGCTAGTTGCGTTCAAGGACTTCCATATCGCCGAAAAATTATGATTCAGCAATTCAAATCTTACACGACCGTTTTGGAAGGAGAGACGTTCTTATTAATGCGCACATGAATGATTTGCTGAATGTTGAATCATTAAAAAATACGAATGACAT